TGGGTTCATGGAGCTTTTGAAAACTGAAAATGTCGCTCCATTAAGAGACCAGTGAGTACTGATGTATTGTAGTATTGATGGTAGCTGCTTTAAAGCAAAGCACAAGGTTGGCCCTCAGCCTCAAGCCCAATGGTTCCTACATCTTCAGTTCTGGCTGACTGGTGGGGAGTCCCAGCTATTTCTCACCTGTGGAGTCATGAACACCTTGAGGGCTGATCAGGTCACATGTGGCTCATTGCCCCACCCTGTCCTCATGTGTGCCATTAAGGTCAAATATGTCAAAGTGGTTGATAAGTGGTGATATTCCTGTCTTTTCTTCAAGATGTCACTGCCTTCTGTTTTTGGAGGTGAGGTTAAAAGGTGCTGTTTTTGCAGGATAGGGCCACTGATAACCTTTGTCATGAACCATTTACTTTGCTTTTGCCAAGTTGTGGTTCCTGGTGGCTGACTCAATGGCTGTGATGAGGTCTATCCCTGCACCCCCAAGGACAGCGGTGCACACATTTTGGCCAGAGAAGACCAATGCTTTGACAGAGAAGTGAAAACCATTTATAGGTCAAACTGGAATGACCATCATTAAGCACCTTGACTCATGAGGCTCTAACAATGACCCATGCTGGCCAGGTAACACAGCGGCACACATGTGCCATCAACAACCCTCACGTTGTAAATGACTCCACAGAGGTTAAATGCCTGGGACTCGCATCAACCAGTCTTCAGTCATCTTCAGGAAGTTCAGTCATGTGCAGCTGCCTTCAAATAGCACTTTTAGAAGCTTCAGAAATGTGTAAAATCTGTGTTAAATTGTGGAATTAATATAACCTAAACCAGGACATCCAAATTATTGCGTAAATTGTTATTAAAATAAATCAACCATATGTAATATTAAGTTGCATTTGTCATTCAAAACCATGAGGGGGTGCACAGCAAAACACATTTATGGGTATTCCTAGCTCTTGGAACAATATAGAAATATAAACACAATAAAAGAAGAATAAAAACCAAGCTAGCAAACCACAATGCATGATGAGCTTATAAATGATGCATGTATGTAATGTGAAGCTACACAATAAGTGGGCCCTAAGATGTGTGTTGGCAGCCATTATCAGTTTAAGTGGCTGTGAGTCCTCTTGTGCTGATGAGTTGGACCCTGTTCATCAGATGCTGGAGATAATTACTTACATAGTTTTATTCTAAGCAGAGGAGATGATTTATCCTTCACCAAACACAGGGTTGCTATAGCAACCTCCATGACAAATCTGCGGACCATGTGGACAATCTGAAACTCCAGTCTACTGCGTGTGTGAGACTTTCTGTTGATTTGTTTAGTTTGTTTCATAATCCTCTGATAGTGCACTCATTTCACCTGTACTGTTTGGGTTAGGGTTAGGGTTAGGGTTATATGAGAATGACATGATTTTAACAGTGGGTGATTGGCACCTCAGCTCTTCTGTTGACCATCAGAACAGAAAACAGCACATAAATAAATGAGGCTTTTAGACCATTAGGCCCTTTATACAAATGTTTTGATGTAACCTAGTGGAAAAGTGTAATAAAATATTAAAATAAATGATGGCTGAATTCCATGTATGTAGCTGTTTCAGTGTTAGGTCCTAGCATGCCACTGTCAGTGTTATTAGTGAAAACTATATATGTTTTTTCTATGACAGGTTTAAATGCTGTTTGTATACAAAAACAATACCTGAATAAAAAATTGACCCAGGATGCATCCTAGTACTATACCCAGTGGGTTTGGGTCGTTTGTGCCAGTGTTAGACACAGCAAGCTCATGTTTTACCTTAAAACAGTTACAGATTTATTCCTAGATGTACAAAATGATGTGCAAAGGATATATTACATGATATATTATTAACAATATGAAAACTAACAAAGATCAACAGGACATTATGACAGTTCACAACCATACCTATTTTAGGTTTAGTTAAAGCTATAGTATGTAATGTTTTCCCCAAATACAGTATATTATTGTAGAAATGTGCTCCAAAACTTGTCTTAACGTAGAGAAGTGTTGTCGAACCTCCCTGTGACCCAGACTCATTGAACAGCGCTGGTAACAGTGCAAATATTAGGTTTTGAGTGGGATTGACATCTTTAACCAGTCAGAGATTTTCAATAATTTGCTTGATCGGTAAATTTTGTTGCATTCTCAATTTTTGGAATTTCATAAAGGCAACTATCTGAAGAGCTGGGCAGAGCGTGGCGGAGTGTAGCAGGTTGTAGTAAAGCACAGTGGAGCAAGGAGAGGTAGTGGTGGGCAGACCAGAGTGGACTGAGTCAGAGTTTCATGATATATAGTTTTACCTTAAGTTATATAATGTAACTTTAATTACGCAACAGTCATTTAAAAATAATAATAATAACAAAAATAACACTAACACTGGATCGGAATAATCGTCTCAGTTGGTTTCCAGCAATGGGCACAGGATAAACTTAACTTGTTCCATTGGTGCTAAAGTTAAGTTTGTTTAAATGATTACAGCGTGTACCCATACTCTAAATATTTACAACAGTAGTGGCTGGTAACCGAATATTCTGCACATGGTAATGCAATTATAGTATATACTGTTTATTGATAAATAAAATATGCATCTGAATTGTATAGATGAAAATTGGGAATAACTACCGTGAATCCATATATACACACAGTTGTGTACAGACCATTGGCTGTATATAAAAGTATACTGTACAGACATGTAAAGGGGAATGTAAGAAATTAGTAAATAGGAGAATAGTGTGTCCATATGCTGCAGATAGCAGTGTCTTCTAAAAGGTTGTATGAATGTCATTTAAAGTAAATGTCACAAAAATTCTCTAACCTTGACAAAAAACATGAATGAAATTCACTAGATAGATTGTCATTTCACTTAAAAATACAATATTTTATAGTCCCTAGCTCACACAACCTACCTTTTGACCAGATTTATACTGACGACTTTCATGAATGGATACTAGAAAAAATAAATAGTCATTCCACAAACTATCTTCCCTATTTATCTCAAGTTCAAATGATAATAGACTTAGCTAAGCAAAGACCTCTGTGAGACAATGTATTGTTACATCTCTGCCCTCTACAGGATTGATCTAGCGATACCCAGCAATGTGTCCTGGGGGGTGTTTACAAAACATTTCCATTCCATAAACGATGGCATTAAATTAAAGGACTCCAGAAAATAATTATAACCTTACACTGAGTGAAAGTTTGTCATAAGCCCTTTGGGAGATTTTTGGTAACTGGCCTATGTATTGGTGGTGATTACAAATGCTGTTTAAGGCCTTTTGCATGCATTACAAAATATGATTGTCCTGCTGTGTATGGAATTTTGGATGTTTATTTACCATGTCATTTGGAAACCATAGAACTTTAAAACCATATGGTCCACATATGTTTATCTTGATCACATATGAATTTAATGCATTATCATTTACTCTAAGTGGAGGTTAAATATTTGTGTGTTTTTGCGAACTGTACATAGTCAGTGCAAAGTTTGTTTCTGTTAAAGATGGAGAATACAAGGTGAAACTAATTATTGCCTTCATTCCTAACATGTCTTGTTTGGATAATTGAAGGGAACCCTGCCATACTATATGGATGTAAATAAAGCTAAAGTGTGACAGTATGTGGGATCGCCATTATTGTTTCTGTAAATCATTAATTCATTACAGTGACTTGAGAGTATATTGAGCCATTTACCTGTTAGTGACTGTTCATTATTATTCATACCAAGAGTAACATAAGTATTGTTACTTCACCAGTTACCAGTGACTAATAGCGGGGATGGTCCTTTATTTGTGTGTAAGCAGTATGCTGCATTTTGTTTGTGATTGCATATACCTATTATGTATTTGCTTATTCTCCTTAACTGTGAATGACAAGGCTGACCAAAGATGGAAGTCATCTGAACCCGTAGCAGCCAGACAGGGTATGGTGAATCACTATTTCTGGGAAAAGGTGAGCTGAGACAAACTCTTCAAAATGATAAGTGACCCTTGTATGAGACTCTGTAGTCAGGAGAAGCCTTGTAAGGTACCCAGAAGGGGAAACAAAACTCCAGGTGTTTTTCTTCTAATGGCTAAAGTGATACTCTGACCATTCTTAAGTAACAAAGCTTTCAGAGCCCCTCAGGTTTGTACATGAACAATATACGGGCGTAGTCGAAGGAGGAGATGATGAATGTTTAAAAGTGTATGCCAGGAAAATATCTGCATGCATTCCAAATCCAGACCTTTCATACTGTATGTTAGATTTGTAGGCAGGAAGAATAAAAAAATATTGTGTCACAAAGATAGTCTCCCCATTTGTGTCTTTGGTTTTAACTCTAACTAGTGGATGTTTTAGAAAGGTTATATAAGACTGAAGAAAACCCACAACAGGAGATTAGCAAAGCTATGGAGGAATGAAGCTATGGGGATCCAATGAAATAAACAATTTATGGTCATACAAAAGAGTGCTAATGAATGCTAAATCATATCAGAGGCTGATGAAAACAGGGGCACATGAGATATTCAATTTTTTTTTCATAAAAGCGATACTCCAATGGTAAAATATTACATAACATTACAGTATCAGTAATATTGAGTTACGCCTGATACATCACTATAGAAACACTCTTAATCTTGTAGCTCATTGAAAAGGAGGTAATTTTAACCATTTTATATCTGTCAGTAACTTCAATCTATAATACTGAATTGTATAAGATGGTGTATGAAAGGTCTATGTAAAATGTGAGTCAGCAAAGTAAGAATTGGGCCAATTAAATGTCTAATAAATGTAGGGGAATAATCTAATTCTTTTTGTCTGAAATGTGGAGGATTAGAAGTATAAAGTAAAAAAAAAGAACTACTCAAGTATATTAGTTACTTTATACTATTCTTTACATGAAAAGTCATTAAAATGAAACTAAAATGTGCAATGCTGGTGCAGACAGCCTCCACCCTCCGCTGCAGCAGGTAGCAGTATATCCTACCGTCGCACGCGAAGCGGACTCGGCAGAGAAGAAGAGAGGCTAACGGCTCGGTGGTTAGCTGCTGCTCACTTCAGTTTTTTCAGTGCTATGATTGACAGTCAGCAGAGGTTTACACGGGCATGTCAGCACATTCGCTCGGTTGTTATCCTAACAGAAAGCTCTGCAGCATGGCGAGTCAAGAAGGAGCACTTAGCTGTCGCCATTCACACACAAGACTAAGAACACCGTGTGTCGGAATACTGAGGATGTTATTTATTGCTTTTATCCACACGGCGCGGGCGAACAAACAAGGTTGGTAACTTAGCTGGCTACGTCCGCATTAGCTAGCGCTAATGTTAACTTCCGTACATATTTCTACGAAGTGCGGGTTGAGATTACCTCTACGGACCAACTTTATCACAGCTAACCCGCTGTCTCTCTTACGTTTATACCTCTCCTACACTGCTCAATTGTTGTTTTCGATTTTTGTTATAAATGCAGTGTTATTTAAAATTGTGGCGTGCTGTCATTTGAATTGCTTCAAAGCATAACTTACTTCATAATGCTACCATTAGTTAGCTATATGTGGCCTTTAACATTACAGTAATTGTTAGCTTCGTTTGTAGCTTGTTGTCATGTTGTCATCCCTTCCATATAAGGCTAGGTTAGGCCAACACTACCTAGCGCACACACACTCACACACACACACACACACACACAAAATTACTAAACAACGCAGAGACGAAAAGAGCAGCTTGTTAGCATGAGTGCTAGTTTTGAAGTTAGCTTACATCGCCTACATCAGCTAACTAACGTTACTGTATGATCTTAAGCCACCGGAATGCAGAGGTGTCAAAATTGTCAGCATTGTCCCTGTCACAGGCAGGCTTTCTAACATTAACTACTTCCTCATACTCGATTCAGCGAAGGAAATGTTTCAGTCAGATGACTTGTCTTTTGTGAACGTGGCCGAGCGTTTTGACTGTGACCCTGGGTTGGTTCCAGCTTGGCACTGGTCAGTCCACCAGCCGAATGACAGCCGCATGTGACTGATCCAGCGGACTGAAGTGACCAGCTGTCAGGTCACAGTGATAAGTTTTACCAGTCGTGTGTAGACAGCAGCCGTCCAAGTCCAAAATGAGCTCTGCCAATTTTGAAGCGTATCTGGTACCTATAACTTGTTTACATTGGTTCCAGACACTGGCAACACAGCCCAAGCCCGAAGCTCTCCAGTAATAAAGGAGTATTGCATGGGTTATTTGACAAATGCTGTGAAGTCACTTTCCTGCTTCTGTCAGGTGGCCCAAACTTTGGTCAGAGTTAACTAGGTAGCTGATACTTGTGCTTTGCTATTCAAACTATCTGAACAGATTTATACAAGCCTTTGCTAGGAGAACTGATGTGTGATTTAATAGAGAGAAATGAATAAACTTCCTTTTGATTTGGCAATTGCTGACAGACCCCCACAGTGACACTTGGCCAACAGCTGTAACCAATAGACTCTTAGATACATTATTTTGTTATGCACATTTTGTAATATTTATTCTGAGTTGTGGTTATACACAATTTTACACATTGGGATTTCACTCCAATGCAACTCTCACTATGGCTAACCCTATTTTATCTTGTATATTTCACTGTGGTACAGTAGATATGTTATCTAGTACCACCATACACGCAAACAGAGGTCAGTTAAACTTGGACAAAATTCACAAAAATCTGACCAAATGTGTGCTCCTGGAAGGACAGATATGTATGTTGGGTGTGATACAGCCTATGTGTGTAATGGCACTAGCGAAATCTAAAAAGGAAGTGAAACTGTGAATTGATCACCTGAATCTGCCAAGGCTTTTAAACCCAAAGCACTGTTTACACACAGCAATTAAATCTCTGTTTAATTTGTCAATACATGTCCAAAATAATAATAGGTTTTAGGGCTAAAAGTGTGCTGGGAATATGATCTGCAAAGGCTGATCTTGCAGCAAAAGCAGTAGGATTTCGATGGTGTCAGGTGCCTTGCTTCTTAGTAAAGTAAAAGCGTAATAAATGCTGAGTAGTGAGTTGAATTTGAGGCTCTCCAAGTTTGTAGATATATATTTGGAGAGAGCCATATCACAGTCTAAGGAAGAAACATCCGGCCCTGAAACTGCTCTTGATAATAGTGTGAGTAAATAAGAATTGACTGTCCTTTTAATACAGCTCAGACGACGTCACTTCCTTAAGCCCCAGTTGCGGCATTATTTAGAAGACGACAACAAACAAAATTAAGTCTGACACAGAGAATCAGAGTGTCTTCCGTGTCTGGATTCCAGACTCTGGAATGGATGTATTGTTGAGTCTATAAGGTAACAATAATATAATAAGATAACCTTGTTTGAAATGGGTTTGGCTAAAAGAAAATTTTGGTTTTGTCTATACTACTAGGTACTTATAATTTATTGACTGGGTTAAATAGAATTGCATTACTAAAAAGAGACTAAAATACAGTTTTCATGGACTAAAACTAGACTAAATGTCATCAGTTTTCGTCGACTAAAACTAGATGAAAATAGCCATGGATAATTCTGACTAAAATAAGATTAAAATGCTCAGACTTTGTTGGCTGAAACCTGACTAGACTAAAAAGAGTATGAACGTGACTAAAACTAATAAAAACTAAAATGACAGCTTCACACAAAGACTAGACTAAAACTAAAACAGGCTGCCAAAAGCAACTATACTGAGCTGCAGCACATTCACTCTTTTCTAGGAAATGAGTTAAGTCAAGTTATACACGCAGGAAGGCCTGGTGAACTGACACCCTGTGACATCTGCAAACAGACTTGTGTGTCACATGTTCACAGTGGTAGATGTGTGTTCTTAGTACAACATGGGTTAGATAGTGGTTGTGCAGAATGCAAACACAGATCTCATGCCTGATCTTGCCTCTTGTCTGCTCTGAAGGTGCAGAGTTTAAAGTTCAACTTGTGTCTTGACCAGTAAAGTTACTTTGAGGAAGATACAATGACTCAGAATGAGCAACGTCTCTGTTGAAGATTTGGGAGGAGGAATTACAAGCAGTGATATTTTCAGATATGTGCAAATCTACTGTAGTTTTTCAACACACTTGTCAAATTATACTACAGCTGGTTTCTCCTGCGGGGCCAGAATCCTGAAGCCATGTCATCTGAACTCAGTCTGCCTTTTTCAGCATTGAAAGCTGCTTTGCCATGCAAATCAGTTTAAATGCAGTATATGAACTTAACTGTTTAGTGTCAAGCAAACCCAAATGCCATTGTATTTAGTATCTTTTTATTTATTTTATTAACCCTTTAGATTTCATGAGCTTTTTCTGTAAAATGTTCAAAACTGGAATTGGAAACAGGAGGTTCTCCTTTTCGATTGTAAAGGTGGTGGAGATAACACACAGTCTGCCTGTTGTTGTTTTTACAGCATTCATTCAGTCAGACACAATTCTAGAAGTTCTACATTTTGGCGAGGGAAGCCTTTTACAGGTAAGTCATATGTATTTTTTTCTTTTTTTTGTATACCAATACTTCTCATCATGGTTTAAAATATTTACACCATTACAAAGCAAGAATATGCTGAAATAATGTTACTGACCTGTTTAATCATTGCAATTTGAGCCACCAGTCACATTTGAATGACTCATTTCTAAATGTCTATTTTCTCTTGGTAGGCTGAGTCTGACATTGATTTTAGTTTATATCATCAACAAAGGTATGTTTCTATTTATTCTCTTATAAATATCCTCCACTCTTTTTTATATCAAGAGGTCAAATGAAATAGAAGTTTATGCATTTAATAAGGGTGTTGTCTGGTACTCCTGTAATGCACATGGATTGCACTCTGTTGTCAAGATAAGTTAAATACAAAGTGGAAAGTGAAAGTATAGCCTGAGGAGTTCTGGAAGTAAGTTGACAGGGCAAATCAGCAACAGGAGCGGCACACATCACACCCACTTGCCAGCTTTAACACATCTTACATTCACAAACAATAGCAAAACAGCAAAGTTGATGCTGAAACAAACTGATGAAAACATTGTCACTCATTGTGGTCATGTGAACAAGCAAATACAGAAGAATTGTTTTGACAAGGCTAATAAACCTGGGCAGGAACTTTATTACACCTGGTTGGCTACAAAGTATCACTTAACAGCAGCATCCAAAAGTAAAAGGCATTGACATCAAAATCACAAGCTGCCAGAGCCCACAGTACAAGGCGAGGCAACAGCCTGAAGCCAAACTGACTGAGAAGTTTGGTTAAAAACATCAAATCCTTTAGAGAAACACAGAACAGTGTTTCTGAGATCACATCCATATTCACCCCCCCCCAAAAAAAATCATATTCTGTTAGTGACTTCATTAACAGGAACTGCTCGAGCTGGAGTGGGCTATTTGGCTCTTTGTTCCTCCTCCAGTGCTTGATCTCTGTTTCTGAGGAGGGAAACCTGCAGAAATCATTTTTTAGCATTGTGTTTTTGCATCCTGGCCTTCTCATAATACAGCTACTCTGTCCTTATGTTTCATATGCGTTTTGTCTGGTTGCAGCCTACAGCAAGTCTTTACTATTTGAACAGTATGTTATCTTGCACATGCATAGCATGACCACTCCCTCAAGTTAGAGGGAGGGTACTTCTCTGTTTGAGTCTGTTCTTTCAGGCTTTTAAAATGCTGAATTTCTCCCCCTTTCCTCATTGTTTATGTGTGCAGTGTTAAGAAATGTCTTTGTTGTTTATTATTATCTGTGCTCTATTATCTACTGTGCTCTGCTTTTGTGAGGATCATTGTCAGCATGCAATTCACTTCCACAAGCATGAAAATGCTTTTCACAGTCGCTTCTTTATGCACTTGTCTTCTTAAGGTGAGCCTGGCACTGGGTATATTCAGATCTTGAGGCCAAGAGGCACAGCCCTTCTCCTCATGATCTGCCCAGCTACTCCAGTTACACACTGACATTCAACACATGAGTTCTGAAGCTGTGTGTGAATGGCCGTACAGAATTCACAGCGAGGATCCATGTGAATCCTCAATTTCAGAAGACTTTTGTCAGTAGTTGTTATACTAAGGGGAGAAGTGCGGTCAGGCCGTAGATGACAGCTCATCCTTGAGGAACCCTGAGTGGTCAGGGACTCTGTGTGGATTACTGTGTGCCCTCAGGGGATAGACATTCATCCCATCTCTAGTGAACGTGCTCATTGTATGCAGGCTTGATAGTAAATAGGTGAAATCAATCTCTGGTAAATTGTCAGACTCTGAGGTAATGTTAGAGTAATTACATGTGAGTAATGTATTAGGGAATGGTTTACCACCAGGCACCTTTGCATCAATACTGGTGCACAAAATATAAAACATTTTTTTTCTATATTTTGTCTTGCATATAATACCTTTTCCACAAATAGTTCTATGTATTCTCAGTAAAAAAAAAGAAAAAGTGCAAGTGACATTGATTGGTGTGTTTCTCTTCCTGTATCACTGAACTTCACTTTGCCTGAGATTTACATAAAGGCTGTCATTGTACAGTACTACCTCTGCTATAGAAGAGTTGCTTCTCTTTAGGGATGGCCTTGTCTATTGTTAAAATATGCCTGTTGTTGAACAGGTTTGGTGAGCTATGCCTGGGACCCAAAAACAGGCGGGTGCAACTGATGCTCAAAAGTCGTTGCTTACTGTGAGAGAAGCACCACTTTCTCCGACACTCTCTGAAGTGTGGTTCTTCTTCTCTGCCCAGTTGATTTTTCTTTTTTTGTGCGTGTGTGTCAAGTCCGTGGATTTTCATGTAGATTTTAATTTGGAAATGGTGTGTGGCAGATGGGTGTAGTCCCTGGCCAACCTCGTGCATTGTAAAAAAGGCTTGAACATGGACAGTGGTGTTCTTGTATATTTAGCCTCTCGTTTGTTTGAAATGCACACAAATATGGGTGCTATTTTTCCTAGCTTGCTGTTGCTGCTGTCACATCTTCCTGTCTCTCGCAGCACATCCCCGCACCGTGGGAACTGCCGACCTATACGATTTGAACCTCCAATGTTGGACTTTCACGAACAGTGAGTGTATACTCGTTTATTAATTTGTTTTCATATGATCTGTGTGTTGCATTTCTCATTTCCTGAGACACTTACTATTAGTGTTAGCTTTTTTCTTTTCTCAAGATGAAAAGTCATTAAATATATAAAGCCACTTGTGACATATTATTAAACAATATTTCTCACATCCAGTGGGTAAATTTATAGTCTGTTAATCTGTGATGACTGCCCTGAGCCTGTCAACAATAAATGGGCTGCTGAAGAAACATCTGTAGAATACACTTAACAAAACCATGTGTTCTTTAACTCCAGCGGCAGCACCTAGTTTCATCTAAGCCCAACCAATTAGATCACATTACACTTTTACAGTAGGCGCACACCCACATAGTATGACCCTGCTTAAAGTGTACAGTAGTCTACAGCCTATTCCCAGGGTGCAGAGTGCAAATGATTCAGTAGCTCTCAGAGAGGCTTCGACCTGGGTAAGGAACACAGATGTCTCGGCGTATCCTCCCCTGTCTGTCTATAACAACAAACCATCCACTTATCAGCTGTGAATGTTTTGAGGGCCTGAAAATGAATCCCTGAGAAATTTTCACCCAGTCTCTAATGCATTTGAAAAGATAGCAGGTTTTGAATGAGCACTTTCTATTTATCAGCCCTTATAAAGAAGCTCAACTTCAGATGCACTGAAAAATATGTTATGATGATGATGTGCTGTTTGAACCAAACACCTATTTTTATCTACTTTGTTTAAAAGACCATACAAGTGATTTTTCAGGTTTAGTCAATCCAGTTAGAAGTAGTCCATCACAGTGAATATTTGGATGCCTTTACTCTTTAGCCAAAGTTAATTAGTTGTTGCATGAATATGCATTTATGAGCAGGGAGAATCGTATGCTTCCCCGACTTTCATGTCTGGACAAGCTGATTTTCATACCACATTGAAATGAAAGAAACCACAGGCTGCCTGGAAGGTAGGAAATGAAATAGTTTATGGTACTCCTTGCATATTGACTGGCATCAATGCAAAGTACAGTATGTGCAGTTAATGGGCAATAACATGCAAAACCGTTGGTATGGGCATATACAGTGAGTTTGACCTTTTCAAGATGGTAACCCAGAGAAAAGTCTATTATTAATCACCCTGGACGGTACCTCTGCCATTTTACTTTGAGAGAGTGTAAAAGAACTTGTATCAAACTCTAAACCCGTTGAACCTTTTACTGTCTTTAAAAAGCCTTTGTTGTTTTTATAGTTAAAATGCATCATTGTTCACATTATTTTTCTAAGTTGTTGTTAATATTTTTATTTATTTTTTTAACCTTTATTTTACCAGGAAGTCCTGTTGAGATCAAGATCTCTTTTTCAAGGGAGACCTGATGATGCATATGTGATACATTCATTGGGGTTATACAGTTAGCTTCTAATTTATTGAAATACATTTTTGTTTACTTGTTCTTACAAAGGATTCTTTTCTTCCTTTACAGGCCTGTTGGGATGCCAAAAATGGAGAAAGTTTATTTACATAATCCTAGCTCAGAAGAAATTAGTTTGATATCAATATCAGCAACAACAGCACATTTTCATGCATCCTTTTTCCAGAATAGGGTAAGTGCCTAATCACTTGGTAAATTTATTTTGTTAGCAACCCATTGGTCACAACAAGCCTGATTTTTGTCTAATATGAACTTTAGGAATGCAGATACATAATGCAGCTTTAGAACACAATATAGAACTTTAGGTTTAGAAATTCCAAAGTCCTTTTATTAGAGAGACAACTAGAACTGCCACTTTGCAGTTATATACTTATGCCAGCCAGTCAAGTTCCACTTTACATGCATCTCTGTCTAGACTCAAATTCCCTCACGGTGTTCATGAGATGTGGTGTTCATAAATGAGTGTGGTAATATACAAAGAAACACAGTGCATCTTTCTGTCTCTCAGGTGTTTTTCTTTTTTGTGTCCTTAAATCCTGAGTAGTCTGAGACTCTACAAGCCCCATCAAACAAGAAAGCAGTATTTAGATACTAACAAGAATGTGGACCATAGTCTCCAACTGTTTAGCGACCTACCATAGCTTTAGAAAGTAACAGGACCCCTTTTCCTTTTGGACAGGTTGTTGTGTTGTTGATTTTAATAGTAAAGAGAAAAAATTACCAGTATACACTCATTGACTTATAATGACAAACTGAAAACATGTCATATAGAGTTTTGCAAATTTATAAAAATAAATCAAAAACTTAAATATTTACAAAAATATTTCATGTTTAATTCAGTACTTTGTAGAAGCTTCCTTGGCAGAAGATAGTTATGCATGGTATTAGTCAGGTGATGAGCAGTGCCTGGTGTTCTTCAGACATTGTGCTTGGAGTTCAGTTTTTGTCTCATCAGACCAGAAACTTTATCCTGCTTTTTACTTGTGATTTCAGTCATTTAAATGCTGTTTGACGGGAGCAAATGGGAGCAACTCAGACACTTCCTTGGACTTGGTTTTTGACCTGACATACAGTGTGATCTGTGGGACCTTATGTGTATATTTAGGTGTGTGCCTTTCCAAACTATGTCCAGTGATAGGTGCCACAGGTGCACCTGAACATACTGTGATGTGTTATAGCAAGGGGTCTGAAAACTTCTGTAAATGTGAGATTTCAGGTTTTGATTTTTAGGATGTTTACAAAAGACATTTCTTTTTGTCATTATGGGTTAGTAATTGTGGACTGATGAGCAAAATCTTCAATTTTACTCTTTAAATATACAACACAATATAATGTGCAAAAAGTGAAGGGGTCTGAGTACTGGTTGAAGCCATTGTAGGGTAATTGCAATGTATAACAAACAAGCCTGCAGTAAATAAGAGGCCAAGAAAACATTAATACTATTAAGTTGTGAAGCATATTGTGTGTACACAGATTAAACATAGCACACACTGTTATTTAATAAAAAAAACAAACAAACACATTGTTCTTTAAATACACCGGGTGCAGTGTCCCAAGAGGATGCATCCAAATTAACACTATTAGGAAGCAAAAGCGTTCTGTGACTATAGGGCTCTAGGATGTTGAATGTTAATTTTATTAGATTTGTTATTTGTGACACTTTTCCCATATCTATTTTCTCATGTTGCCAGATTACCAAATAAATAATCTTGTGTGCTGCATGTGAAGACTCCCTGTACAGGAAAGACTTGTTCTGTGACTTTAGCCATAGTTGCAACACATCATGTTTAACTGAGGCTAGGAGGCCTCATGCACGAACAGTTTTTTGTCCATAAATTGTCTTAATTTTCTCTAGTATCCTTGCTTGTATAGTATTAATTTGATCTTTGCATAATCAGTGCCCCCAAAATTTTTATGTAAGGCTACCTGTTCTGCTTTGTTTGTGGGAAAGTTTCATTCACAAAAATGTCATGCAAGAATGAAATACTTTCACAGTGCAGAGCTTCAGGTCCCTTGTCAGAAATCAGCAAACAGAAACACAGCAGAGCAGGGCTGTGCTGTGACAGCACCAAGAGGCTACATGAAGTTAGATGCTCAAAAATATTTCTGAAGTCAAGTGGTTCATGACTACTATGTGATGTGGTCAAGCGACTAGTTGTTGTTGCACGGTTGGGTCCAATTAAGCATGACACTGGACAGATCTGCAAAACACCTTGAGGCAGTGCGAGGAGTGATAGATATTTCCTACTTTCATTCCTACTTAATGGTGCATTAACTGCAATTTTACAAATTTTCTGATCAATCATGTGAAAATGTGACAGGATGTTGTTTCTCAGCCATACTACCCACCTCTATGGCACTCTGCTGCTTACAGTCCTTCTCTTATTATCCCTGCTTCTCTATCCTGTGTTGTCAAAGTACGGTCTGCTACCTAGCAAAGGTTATAAGAAGCGTTTTTCAAACCATAAGTAGTCATTTCAAACAGCCAGTGATGGAACAGCTCTCACCATTAAATAAATACAGCCTCTACAAACAATGTTAGCCATGCATATAAACTATAGTAAACTGCTGAAGGGTTAACCTGGCCACTTGACCTTGTGCCATTGCTGTAGGGCTGGCACTCTTTAGTCAGCTAATGCTAGCTTTGAACTGGAGGCTGCCTTTTGTACAATTTGTACAACCAGGCATCTGTAGTTCACATTGT